CAGAGTTTCTGTGTGTGATTTGGTAGAAAAAAAAAAAAAGAGCGATATAGAATTCTAGCAAATTGAACGTAAATACAAATAACCCTAAGACTGAACCTGATACTTTGCCTTAGTCTGTGGGTACTTCATAACTATGTTCGATTTACACCAGCTCGTTTGCACCTTTAATTTGTCTCCAGCAGACTGTCCTATTGTAACCCCAAGTTTGATCCTAAAGCCGCAACTTAAAATGCGCCCTAGTAGCGGCCCGAGCCACCTCTAATTTCTTGAGAAATGAAAATGGCAACTTCATGCACAGGTTGGCGGGTTAATATAGCCACACACTTTGACAATGAATGTGACCTGCAATCATCAAAGATACAAACCACCGCCTCTTTTCTAAAGTCTTTTATTTTATTTTTTGACGATGCTTTAAAGCGAGCGAACAAAACACAAGGCACCCGACGTTCGCTTTGTATTTTATTGTCCCCCGAAGTCTGTACAACAGCCTACTCCCTCTATACTTGACGACCCGAGGAAAGAAATGAAAAGTTTGTCAACTCTGTTGCTGAAGTCTTTCCACGAAGTATTTGCGGTGCAAGCTCCTTGCCTTGCACAGGAGTTTTGCTTTGCAGTTCAAGGTGAACATCACGAAAATGTTCTAAATACCGCAATAAACTTAAAAAAAAAAAAAAAAAAAAAAACGAGTTAGGGCCTGTCACAGACGCAAAACCAAAATACAATCCAGGTCGTTCTATAACCTCTCGAAGAGAGCAATAAAAGAGAGAAATTAATCCATCAAGTAGTTCACGGGTCACGTGTTGCGATTATTAACCCGTCAAGACCGCTTCAGTCTCGCAGACAAAGAAGTCACTGATAAAAAAAGATGATCATTTAACCATTATCGACGTTTTCTTTCCATACACCCCATTTTTTTTTTTTTTTTGGACGCACGAAATTTAACGTCGCTTCCGGCGTGTCTCCCTGGTATTTGACGAGGCACTATCGCGATCACGCTCAATTCATTCGTTGGCGGCCGAATATAATACTCCGTTTTACCTCACGTTGGACCGCGGGGAACCCTACGAATCAACAAGGAGGCCAATGCGATGCCCTGTGAGCGTCGCATCTCGTTCGGGTAAAAGCGCAGCGACGCGCCCCGAGTCACCGGTCACGTGGTATACGTTCTCGGCGCTGGATTGACTGGGATTGGCTCAGTAGCGCCTGCTCCGGTTATATATATATCGTGAGTTATAGACGATAACGGCGCACGGCTGGCTGCTTCGGTCCGTCGGCGTGCGTCACTTCTGTGCGCGTCAGTTTGTCGCGGGATTCCCGGCGCCGCTGCCCGGAACTGTTTCGTGCTCGATCCATCACGGTCAAGAAGATGAGCGCGGTATACGCGCACCCGCTCCTCCGTCACCTCGTGGACGTCGTAACCTGCGGCTCGTACCAACGGTGCAAATTCTCGGGCTTCCCGTTCCCCGCTTGGCACTTGCGCCTCCCCCTGGGAATATAGGTGAACAATGGAGAGTATACACAGGCACCGAGAAGTTAAAGGGGCATTAAAGTGAATTTTGAGATGGTCGTTTTATGATTCCATCTCAATATATGCGCCTTAAGCGTCTGTTATTGTTTGTTTGTTTTTCTAATAAAAACGCATACAAACGTCACAACGCGCTCCTTTCCGAGATATATACCGTAGCGAGTTACAAGTAAGTGATTACTCGTAACGAATTACATGTTATTGTAACTTTTTAACGCTTCACTTGTTTGTTGTTGTTGTTTTTATTTTCGTTGTTTTTTGCGGTAATGTTTGCTATTTTTCAATTAGTATTTTTCTGTACTCATTTTCGAGTAATCAATTATATGTTTCCGAAAGAGCTAAAATTATAAAGTCAAGTTTTTGTACGTAAAAAAGAAATTGTTCTTGCCCGTATGTCACTCGTGTATGTTGCATCGCTTTTCCCTCAAGCCCATCCGTCGAGAGGGTCTTCAGCGTCGCCGCAGGTATACCTTCGCCAGGAAACGTGGAAGGACGACCGACGAGAACTTCGAACAACGACTGCTGTTGTAGGATAACAAGGTGTGAATGGCAAAAAAAAAAAAAAAGAATATGGAATTAATTTGAACGGGTGTATGCATCTTCGATATTGTAATAATATGTTAAAAAAATTAACGTGAAAAGTAATCGATTACTTTCTGGTAATTTTCAAGTAGTTTTGCGATGCAGTAGTTGATTATTGCGATGCAGTAATTGATTGCTGTAACCATTCCCATTTTTCAATAAATTAATTGTAATTGTAATCGGTTATTTTTTTCACTAACGCGCGCGAGACTGGATTTATATCTAAAAAAAAGTGGTTTGTCGCGATGTTGCGTCCTGTTTTTAATTAATAAAAAAAACAAGACGTCACGCGTATGACTATTTTTGGCTCCTTTTTTTTTTTGGGGGGGGGGGGGGTGGGGGGTGATACTTAGGGCGGATTGATTGAGTTTATGCCAGAACAAACTTAAAATCAGCTTTAATGCTCCCCATTAAAAGAACGCGATGCGTGGCGAGTTCCGAGAATACGATTAAGCTCTACTCATCCAATCAGATTGCTGCGTCAGACGACAAGATTGCCGAAAAACCAATCATGAAGTACAGAAAGCGGGATCATAAAACGCCCAGCCTTTATACGACTGTCAGACGAATCGACTATAATTGCAATTCGACTAATCATTCCAACCAGAACTGGGCGTTCTCGCCTCACCCTCTCCCCCAGTATCTGCGTTTTCGAAGCTGTCGGTGGCCAGCAGCAAACTCTGCAGCAAAATTAAACGAGAAAATAAAAATGCAGTGGCGTCTCTATAGCTTATTGCAGAGCGCCTACGAATCAGCCGTTGCAACCTCCCGAACGAAATCTGGCGAACGGCGCGAGGTCAGAAGAACATGTCCGGCGGTAAGTCTCCGCCCTCTAACTTTCAGGATTAAGTGTTCCCATCGCTGCGACGTCACGCTTCTGCAGGACGACACTGGCTCATCGAGTGTTTTAGGAGAAAAATTTGATATACGCTGCGCGACATATAGTTAGCCGTTAATCCAACGTCGCCACTTCTTCGCGGCTTCCTCCTATTGATGTGTACACTAAATTTTTGCCCTAGGTTTTTCGCCAGTCTTTCGAAGAAAAAACATTTAAAAAAAACAATCGATTTCTCGTGCATGCTGAATGTATCGCGCTCCGTACATACGAGCATGTTTTAGGAGACACCATAACGGCGTGGAAACGCTAAACTCGAACAACGTTTATTTCCTTGAAGTAAACTTAAATTGGAGCAAATGCGGGATGGTGATAGTTGTCTGAATTCCGGTAAAGAACTCTAAGATATTTCGCAGCCCTCTCTTTCGTGTACGGCTCTTGGGAGATAAAAAGTTTTTACTAAGAAATTCCGGCGAATGATAATGCTGAAAAAAAAATCTTTGGAGAAAGATTTAGGTGCTCGATTTGACGATGATCGTGACGCAGGCGTGTAATACAATTTGACATTGCGAACTTCAGTTTTAGGTTAAAACGTTATTATATTATAGTCTTTCGTCGTAAGACCCCGTACAGTGTAGGGTTGGCTCTCGGGGTGTCCTGCCAAAAAATAGACGCCTGGACATTTTTTTTTATTTTACACTTCGAGTAGTTTTTTTTTTTTTTATGAAACTTATTGCAGGATATCACGACGTTGTGACGGGTTTCCTGTATCTTAAATTGACTTCGAGCTGTCGCAAATCGTTTTCAGCTTTTTCCTACGTTTAAAATTTCATTGCAAAACCACGTACGTGTGATTGAAGGGAATGAATGAAATTCAACCGTTTATCGTGCGATTGAAGTTGTTAAACACAACGAAGAACTTGTAGTAGTAAAACACTCTCAAAATGTATCGTGTAATACCAGAAATAGTTAGCCTTCAAACATACTTCAAAACAAAGGGAACAGTGCGTGACACAAATAGCTATCAATGTACCTAATTGCAGACAACGACCTTCCTGAACATTAAGCCACGAACTATTCAGTAGCTCACTAAGCAATCGCATAACTACGACGCTAATACTTCGTATCATACGTTCAATCTTCAACCAGCCCCGAACGGACTGGATCGACGCGCTGATAAAACCGGTTGCGCAGGATCTCCCATAATAACATCCTCGCGTAAGAAAACATGGTAGACAAACATTTGGCACCTTCGTCTTCAGAAAGGAAAAAAACGTAGTCAAGATGTCCGTTTACCTGCTACACGCTAAGCAAGCATCACACGCGAGCAATCAGTGAACCGCAAGTAATTTGTACCCCTACCCCTTAACACTCCGTATACTTCGTTTCAGCTTACGTCCAGGCACACACGAAGCTATGAGCTAATGGTACCAATCAAGCAGCATCAGAAGCGCAAGCCATTAGGTCTTCCTTGTTCGTTATTGGTCCAGCGATGATAAAACACGTACATAAACATCACGAACGCCCGGGTGGTGCTTTTATTAAGCTGTCTGCTTGGGCCCATCCGCACTTAGCGTCTGGACTTAATATGGAACGATGTTTAACAAGCTCCCGGGTTGATTCAAAACACCCCTTTCCTTCCACAATAGTCTATATAAAGTGTACAAACCTATGATACACACCTTTCCGAAAACCTCCCAAAGGTTTGTACCCCTACACACAGACATACACACATATAGGTAATCCTGTGTAAAACCCCTGCATCGTAAGAAATATGGAGCGACTACTTTACCGCAAAGTACTTTGGAGAACCAGTCGCTGCAGTCTACGCAAATGACGACGCTAAAAGACTCATAGACATAAAAAAAGACGGTCTGAGCCGCGGCACCGGACTTGACGTTTCACTATGCTAAGTGTCACATTGCAGATTTGTTTGTTTGTTTCTGTAAATATTTTTTCAGCTTCGTCACTTGCAGTTTTGGGTGCTTTCCGGGAAAGAAGACACCCTAGATTCCTTAAACAGTGACGGTCCCCGTCAAAGGAGAAAAAAACACTCACGTTGACGAAGCCGGGGAAGATCCCGCACCGGAGGACGCGTCGGCACCGTCCAACGCGCCGTTGCAGGCCAGCTCCAGGGTGACGGACGCGTCGTCGGGCAGTTGTCCGAGCAGGCAGTTGCCGTGCTCGAAGCCCGTCACGCACGTGCCGTTGACGCGAAGCACCACGTCTCCGGGTCGGATGAGCCCCGTGCGGTCCGCTTCGCCGCCGGGCACCAGGCTTTGCACCACGGCCCTGGGGCCCGCCGCACCGTCGCAGGACGACGAGCCGCGGCGACCACGGGCGGGCGAGCCCAGCGGGCTGCAGCCGGGCCTAGGGCTCGAGCCCTGGGGCCCCAACACGAGCCCCAGGCCGCCCTGGCGTCGCTTCACCAGGGACACGGGTCGCGACATGCGGCGCGCTGATGGCTCGGGGGTTCTGGCTGCGCTCGACTCCGCGCGCCGTCGGCTTCTCCGCGCGCAAAACTTTGGCGCGACGCTTTTTGCGTTCCGACGGGGGTCCGCGGGAGAGGAGGAACGGCTCCCCTCTCTCTCGCTAGGTGCTTCGATGGTGGGGAAGGGAGAAAGAGAAGGGGGAAAGGGGACCAATCCCGAGGCGCTTCCCTAGGTCTGGGGAACCTGGGTACCGCCTGGCGCTGGGATAGAGCGGGCGCGACGGGGCGTCTTAGTTCCGGAAGGTAATACGCCGTCAACAGGGTTGTCAAAGATACTCGTAAAATCGGACTGGTGTTAAAAAATACCTCGTATTTTGCTCAGACAGAGTATTTATGGATGTCGCGATTTACTCCTTTTACTCTCACGATTGGCCTGTGTCCAGTACACTACTAGTAGTGTGACAGAAGTTACGTAGTAGTTCCTTCAAAATTAGTTTATTTTCTGTTCTGAATTTCCCACTCCCGGTGTGGTCACGCGTTCAGGCTAACTTGTATGCCTTTGATACATTTACCTCAATGTCTACCCCTTTTGACTTCACAATTTGTTTGTTCTAAAACAAAGAAATTATTTATTGACAAATTATAACGTCGCTGATCTCCCAAAATTCCATTAGCCGGTTGGGAATTATTCAATGTCTTCTTCGGTTTATCCATCTGAGCAATGTTATAACTCAACTGTATACGTGCCATACTGCCCTTTAAATTTTATCGTAAAATATTTTAACATATGTAAGCAATGGCCGGCAACAGAAGAGACGATGCGAGAGAACAAACTGCCCAAGGAACACTTTTACAAATCGCCTGCTTGATTAGCGGTTGCGTAAGTGGCACAGATGATTTCCTTGGAATAAAGAAAAAGGGGAAGGGGCTGGAATTCCTCGTTTCCAAATGCGTTCTACAAAGACATAAATTCAATCCAGACTTTGAGTACCGACAACGTTTATCATTGTTGTCCTCCGCCTGTTCGAGAGAAAACGTTAATATTATGAAATATACACACGGACCATACTATCCTGCTATAAATCCGCTATTTTGTCCATCCAGAGCAGGTGTATGAACCCTTTCTTAGTTTCTGGGAACAAAAAAGTCCTGCCGCGAAGTAACTTGTAATTATAATCTGTATAACGACTTAGCTAAGTAATATTTACCATTAACGAGAAACAAAAGTGTGCAACTATTGAAGATAAACGAAAAGTGTGTATTTACACATGTCAAGTTACTTAAATATATCCAAGTACTTTCAAACCCTGGTCGTGACCATCATCCAAAATATCGGTCTGTATAGTCTATTTCTCTTTTTTTTTTTGCTTCGTTGAACCAACTACTGTAACTATAGTCAGGGTCAAATGGTTTGTGACCCAACCCTCGAAACTCTGAAAAGTGACGACATGGACGGTCAGGGCGAACCGGTGTAAGCGGTGATGAAAACAAGACTTTAATCAATCAATCAATCCCTTATTTCACATCAGAAACTGATGTAGTCTGCAGGGGCAAATGGTGAGAAGTTTGACTTGACAATGCCTCTGCAGCCTTACAAATTGGCACATGGCGACATACGACATATCAAGTGTTAATGTTTACAGTTTTCAAGCTTTTAATATTAAGCAAAAAACAAAACAAAAAAACAGCATTAATAATTACGCTGTCAAATATCGCCAATAAATGATATATCTTAGGCACGTGACAACATTTTCGCTACATGACAGGACTTTAAAGATAATAATCGTATTACCTCAAAGATAACAGAAATATACGGAGCACACGACCTCACAATACAAGCGAAGTTTTAATGCAGAAAAAAAGATTCTGATTCTACTGAGATACAGTTTCTCGATATTTGTCAAATTATACTTCTGAAGTTTATTTAGGACAAATGGAAGATTATACCTTAGCTTTTGGAACCCGTAATTTATACGATTTATTATTATTTGCCAATGCTTCCTCTCACGAACGTCGTATACTTTAATATTTGGTGTAAGATTTGAATAATGTCCAAGGAAAGGCTCGTTACAAAGAAGAGCAGGTCTACATCGTGTCAGCAGAATATACTCATCATAGGTCCAGGGCAGTTATTAGACGTAGTTAGTTAAACAGTGGAAGCGTCTGTGTGCAGAAAGGTACACATACAACTCCACTGTTTCCACCCGGTAACATTTGCCCAGGTAACTCTTTAAATATATGTATATATATATATATATATATATATATATATATATATATATTATGTCGCCGGACTTAGCAAACTCTGCACAGGGGTTAAGTGTACAAAGTGACCGATAACAGTGAGTCATTAATTAGAGATAGAGCACTTGAGACCGCGGTAAAATTGGTTTCCATCATCCTGTCTTCTGCTTTCCTAGGAGTTCATATTCTTTCCATCTTCTTCGTCTGTCCACACGATGCCGGTGCAACGTGGTGGACTAGTGGCCAAGATTACCTGGGCGCTGGCCCCAAGCGTCCGCCGAGCCCCCGACGGACATCACGGATTTCCTCGCAGAATCACAAAAAGCTCAGCCACGACCTTACTATCAAAGCTCACGCATGCACAAATAAGGCCCCGACTAAGGAAACGGTGGGAAGGTTGAATTACGTTCAGGCAGCATGAATACCTGCGCGCTGTCTGTGTAACCGAGCGTATTCCAATTTGAAACCCCCAAGGCTCAAACGTCTGTGTACATAACGGCGACGTTTCATCAACTTACAAGGGAGGAGCTAGAAGGGACACCACACTTGCTGCAACTGCCAAGCACGACCATCCTCAGAATAGGCCAGTTAACTCAACCCCGGTCTACCAAAGGGCATGTAAGCGAGCGAGCAGGTTAAATTATATAATAAACTTCAAAATTAAAAAAAAACGCAAATAAAAAAACAGAAACGTAACACCGTTGCTTTGGAGGTTGCGTTTGCCCAATCCCTTCTCGTGTGCATGCGTGAGTGCGTTTTAGCGGTTTTCGCGTGCGCGCCCTTGCGTGATTGCGCGTGTATGTAGCTTCCAGTTCCGAGTTTCTGATGCAGGCAAGCCGGGTCACTAACTCTTTCTTTGTAGTGATTTCAACTAAAAAATTATTACATTTCATCCACTGAACGTATAAGCAATTATCCAGTTGATAAATAAAGAAATCGTGTTGTGTGTATATTTATGCAGCCAAAAGTTAGTCAGCCCGAATGGGAGTCTGGTGCCTCAACAGTAGATGAGAAATTTAGCCTGCGCAGTACAACCCCTAACCTGGGGTCTTTAACGTGCAGTTGGTAACAACCACGCGAGCACAGATTTCCAATAATCTATTTCGAGGTTCTTATTTTTATTGTTCTTGAGAGAAACCAAAACTTTGGTAGATGATTCAGTTGAACACGTGTATGATGCGCCTTTATTCGAAGGTACATTCTGTTGTACAACTTTTAAAAATTAATTATGAGTAAAATACAAACCTTGTCGATCAAGTTTTTCTTTTAAAAAACTCGATATGGTTTCTAAAGTGTTCGACAATTGGCCAATGTTTGTAAATTGTAGTAAACTATAGTAAAAACCAGGAAAGAAATACCCACATTAACTCAGCTACACTCTTCAAGGGACCACAGTTGACAAAGTATTCGAGTGCAAAAAACTGGGACTAATAATAACGTCTGGTTTGTGTTCGAATAGAGATGTCCACTTTATTGCACGCAAAGCAATGAATAAATTGTCGACCGTAAAAAGGCGACCGAAAAACTGTTCGAGCAATACAAAACTAGTTGCCTATAATACATTTGTAAGGTCTTCACTTGAGCGTGCAAACGTTGTTTGGGACTGACACACAAAGTATAATAATAAGTTAGAAGGAATTCAGAAGAAAGCGTTAAAATTCATTTACAATAGATATGGCAGGAAAGAATGCGTCTATTTCCGAACTTAATGTCCAGGCCGGTCTACCCTTTTGTGGTGGCGCCGGACAATGACGAGGCCCGGCCGGCCGAGGAAGTAACAACATGAGCAGGGGGAGGACGCTGAACCAGCTTTACTTCGATGTTGATGTGCTTATGTACTAATGTTTGAATTATACAGAGCGCCCTTCGTATAACACGTTCTTAGAGAAACGTACAAAAACTAGTTGACTAATTTTTTCCTTTTTTTATTTTTATTTTTAGCCTGATAAATGGTAACTATAGTTTGGATTATCAAATCTACTTTGATTTTAACACATCCAGAGCCACAACCAAACGAACATTTTAAAACACTCAATGAAATAATATGGAGAACAGGTTGTTATAAATGCTTATTCTCTTCAAGCAGCTATTTACGAATGAAACTCGCACCAAGCTACAATTGTCTCTTCCGATTGCCTGTCTTCGTTTTTATAACTATTCAGTGGGTTACCAGTATTTTAATAATTTAGGTTTACTAATTGTTTAACTTACTCTTCTGTGTGTGTTGATTTTTCTGTATAAAAATTATTATGACTTGTATTTCTCGCTCCTTGTGTAGAGTGCTGTTTCTTTTAGGAAAGTGTGGTGCTGTGCACCAATTATGGGTACACAGGTATCACACCTTTGTATTGACTTTTGTTGAGGTCTTCCAACGATGTTTTTTCAACCTTGGCTGCCCCTTAGTGACAGGTAGTATGTATAAATAAATAAATAAATAAATAAACAAACAAGTATAATAAGACTGAAAGGTACAATAGTGATGTTTCAACATATTAAAACTACTTACGCTTCTACTTAATTACTATAAAGGGATTTTTTTTGTATTCTATATCGCTTAAAGAAGTTTATATAAACACATAAATCAGAAGGTTTCCTCCACATGGTAAAACCCTCGATTTATCTTATCATGGGTCAGCTCCAACATTCTAAAACATTTGCCCTTTGCGTCCTCTCTCAAAACACTGAAAAAACTATTTTAGTTGAAAAAATTTGTAAATTGTAATGTTCCCTGCAAGAATTACAGACTAAAAATACAGTAATATTAAATACAGTTTATGAATTCTGAAATGTA